AGGGAAAAAAATCCCACACTGTGTGATAGTGGGTGGGAGCAAGTTAACATATATAAATTATTCTTTGATGCCTCAATTCAGTCCTATTGTTCAGCCCTGGGAGGATTTAGCATTATTTTCATAGGTTTTGGAGACAATCCAGCATCTGTGTAAACACATTTGGTCCCATGGTTCTCCTTCTAGCTTTGGCTTTTCAGTCCTTGTACATCAAATTAAGATTTTGTTGACATTTCCCAGAATGGTTTTACTTCATGCTATTATTTCAGAGGAAAAGGAAACACTATTAGAGACCCTGCTCCCAGGAGTGAATTTGTCTTCCTTTCCAGCCAATGTTTCCAAAATCAATTCCCTCTACCAGATGGTCTTAATTATATTCTGGAGATATTTACAGGTGAAGTCCATTATAATTTCAGAAGAAATGTAAAGTTTCAGCAATAAGCACAATCCAGAATCATAATGTCCTGCAAAAATCTACTGAATCCCAAATATTATATTTGAGACTTTAAAAAAATAGCACATTTCTCATTAATCATAGATGTACACTCTGAAATTAAATGCCAGAAGACAAATATCCCACTCTGAGGACCATGCATACCACTTATCTAGGACTGGACATTTGCTCCCACGTGCATAGCATCTGGTTGTTTTGGAAATTCATGCATTGCTGCTGCACATCCCAGGAGCATCCTCACTCTGTGGCTTGATGACTTCTGGGGCCATGTGGTATAGTCCTGTATGGTGAAAAGCAAATTTGAAATCATAAAGAACAGGTAGTATCTCTTGACCTCAACAGTAACCTTGAACTGAGACCAGAGTCCATGACAGGGAGTTTTGGCAAACTCCTGGAGTACAAGGGCTCTTTGGGTACATGGGTAGTTGAGCTGAAGGCAACTCAAACTGACTGTTTGCTCTAGAAATTCTGGCCAGACCTTGTTAGGGCTCTGCAATTTAATTTTCTAAGTAGCCCAGTGAAGTTGAGGAGTAGGAATTATTCTTACTTTATTGCAGAGTGCACTTCAGGCAAAATATTATGAATACTTTCCCTTTTCAAAATATGTAAAGCAGTAACTGATACTGGGATTTGCTCTGAGTACTTTCTGTTGTCTCATCTCCACTCATTCTCTTAAACCACCTTGCTTTGTACAGATTCAGTTGCATATAAATAAAGTTCAGAAAATGAGATGTTTCTATGCTTCCACATTTATTTTTTTATCTTGGTGGGATGCAGAATGAAAATGCAAGATGCATATCTTTACTGAGGGTATTGTTTGAACAAACGTATTATTTTTGCACATTTCATGGAATATGCTCCTTCTGTTTAACCAGCTTGACCGACGGCTGCTTCTCTGAAACTACGACAGAAGAGAGGAAGCCAACTGATCAAAACAGAAATCACAGATGTCTCAGTGCCTTAGTGTCCTCAGTCCTCTTTCCCCTTGTCATTTGCACAACACAAGTCTTACTTA